GGAAGAAGTGTTGCCGCAATCCCCGATGATGCGACCAGAACAACTATCTTCCCCCAACTCCTAATCTTTGTTGTAATTACATTATAGAGATACGTTTTCCGTGTACCTTCGTGACCATATAGGAAGAAATCACGACCCATCTTGTCGTGCACTGAGTTGATGACTGCTGAATAGACAATGGTTTGCTCAGAATTCAGAGACTTCAACATAGAGGTGGCTAATGCATGTTGCTGGTCTGTATCAAAAGCTAGATGCTCGTTTATGAGTGGGTTCTCGCCATTATCACATGGACCATCGGATGGGAGTGGAAGATTAAAGTCCTCAAGAGTCATTGAGTGTGAGCTCAACATAGCCTGTAGTTGATGTAAAACTCAGTTATGTAGTCGTTCGTCGCTAGGCCTCATAGTTCGATCCCTGAGATCCTTGACTGAACTATATGCATAATCTTCAGACATAGATTTCCAAGAAGAATTGAACAATGTGATCGGGCTAGGTATTTCACAGAATATAAGCATTGACACGAAAGTGCTTCGAATCACCCTTGGCATGCTAGAAGATGAGATATCATTTAGCACTCGTATCCACTCTGAAGAGTTTGATAAAAGGCCTAATTTTCCACAAGCTTTTTCAAAATCTGAACAAAGTTCTCCATCGACAATTCTCAGATGAGCATAACTGATAGCGCCGCGAACTTTTGTGAGCAGCATTCGAAGGAAAAAAACATCGCCAGAACCTAGCGGAACATATGCAATTCTGCCTATAGCAAATCCTTTTTTGCGGGGACTCCACTCTTTACAGTCAGGTAGCCAAGTGTAATTGTTTGGTGTTTGTGCATATGTAAGAATTCTTGCTTGGGGATCCCTTCGATTAAGCGCAAACCATTCTGTTAAGTGCGTCTTACCGGCGTATGGATTCCCCAAAATATTCCAAATATTGGACTGCTTCTTATAAGGTATTTTTTGCTGGCCGTCCAAATGAACTCCCAAACGCACCACTGGTGGTTCTCTTACATGTATTGGATATTCATTCAGCCTCCATATAGCTTCATAAGATGACAACGATCGGCCGTCAATGAATTGTTGAATTTCATCTCTGTGTCTCACAGGCTGCACTTCTGCATTGCTCTGGGGTTCATCAGCATTTTCAGCAATCACTAATGACCTATCCGGCCCTTTCGTCACATATTTGAAGAGATATTTAATAAGTTTGCCTTAATGACATACCTCAACATTGATATGAGCCTGCATCCTCACTAACAAATTTCTGTTGTACGGAACAACATGTCGATTGTCGAGGACTGAACTTCCCTTTTGAACCTCTATGCCAGAGTTAGATCTTCTGTAGATGACATTTCCAAACTTGTCAAATGACGTTGCTGAGTTAAACTCTTTTGGGAATTGTTTCGAACATCTTCCGTTTGAGGGTCGTTTATTGTCTCGCATGCACGGTGCATTTGTGTTTGCTTCTCCACATGGACCATGTAACATATATTTGCAAACAGCCTCATATCCAATTGGATCTTCTTGAGGGTCAGGAAGCTCGGCTGAGATGACTTCATCAATATCATCTGCTGTCCTTAGTTTATTCTCTTCAGCCAACCAAACTAGCAAGTGTATGTGAGGCAAACCTTTTTTTTGAAACTCCACTGTATACATTACTGGTGCAAAGCAAAACTTGTTAGAAAGGGAGGTATCCAAATATGTGCATTGAAAATTAATTGATTGCTTATACTGACCAAATTATATTAAATGATCATACTGCTCTTACTTGCGATTGTCTTCCCAAAGTAGGAGTTTTTCTTAGTGTCGTCGATGAGAATGCTCAGCTTTATGTGGAAAACCCTTGAAACCACCATTGGTTTGTCCGAACAATTCGGGCCAACAATGTCACGAAAAGCTTCTGTTATTTCTTCCCACAATGAATTACACGTAAATGTAATAAATAGATCTGGATTTCCATAGAACTCGACCACCTCCATTGCATCGTGACATAATTGTTGCATATATCGTGGGCTGCCTATATAAGTCCCAGGGAGCACTACATGACCCACTTTATCCCCATCAAGATCACCTCGCGCCATTGCATCTTGCAAGCCTTGATAAACCTCAGCTCTAAGTTGTGGCTGATGGTAGCGCAAAAAAGCTAGCCTATTTAACTCTATTGATGAATAGGCGTCTATGCAAAAGTGCTGAAGAGCTTTTCCAGCCTGAACAATTGTATGGCCTTCGTTGATGCGATATTGGAGCCTAAATGTATAATACTCACGCTGAGTAACAAACTGTCGACGCATAGAAGGAGGACAGTAAGCTGACCTGTACTTGATAAGTGGATGATAGCCATCCTCTCCATATGGAAATAAGAGCGGGAAATGTAATGCATCAAATTTTGGATTGAGACTTGTAATTCTCTTCAAACCCTCATATATGTGATCAACAATAATATCTCGATCCTCTCTGTCCGGAATAAAATCGCACGGTATAAGTGCCGCGATTTCAGTGCTGCTGGGCAAGTCATACTGTCAATTTCTGCTCTTAGCTCCAAAAATTTGAAGCTTTAAACTTGTTGTTGTAGAATCTTGCAGCTGCTGCCGAACCCGCCTGAATGTTTTGACAAGTTCATTATGCTGATCTAACATCTGAAGCAATAAAGTGAGCAATTCTGGCATAAGTAGACCATCACGGGAAGCAAAGTTCGCCAACCGGTTGTCAATTTCATTCTCAGGTTCGAAAATATAGAGCTGAGCAAACTTTGGTTTTTCACCATCAGGAGGCAGCAATGAACCAATCCTATGATAATTTTCTCCACATATAACCATTGAATAGGGCCCCCTTCCAGAGAGAGAGCGAGGGTCGATAGAAGTGCCAAACGATGTGAAGCACAATGAACCATTGTACGGTCTAATGTTATCCCTGAAATGCTTCGACATATAGCCACCATCAAACCGCAGAAGTTCAGCCGACAAATGTGGACGTTGTGCTATAAGCGGCAAACCAACACGACCTTTTTGACAACATAATCCATAGATTGGATCAGTTGTTGCTCGACGCCGATCGAGTCTTTCCATATCCCAAAACAAAGCACCACAGTATTTACAGACACATTCTGGCTTACCAATTCTGAGAATATCATTGTGTAGTGGCTTCCTAGCTGTGTGAACATGCCTACTACAGGACGGAATCTCATTTGACCGCCGCCGACTTGAACGATCAGTTTTTCGACGGTCAGCCTTTGTTACTCGACCGCTGTTTTCGTTACATTCAGCCTCTACATCAGGGCTCCCCAGTTCCTGATAAAAAATGGGCCGAGTTATATCTCTGGATCCTAATTGCTTCATGGTCTGATAACACGATTTCCTTGGCCGTGATGAACCTGATATATGCACAGCAAACATAGAGTAAGCAACAATAAGCGCTCGATATGGACGGAAATTATCAACGCATAATATGTTCATGAGTGTTCTATACTTCAAACAACAGATATAGCATAATATTGGACTCATCACCTGCTGGTGACGGCGAAACTTGATGAAGATTCTGCAATGACCCCTGTATGTTGTTCTGAATCTCGGTAGCTATATCCCCAAAACATAGCTGAAGAAGTTATAAGATCCTCCGATGTCTGCTTGGGAATTTCAACTCTGGGTCTCTTACGTGTCAAAGTGTGATATTGGGATTTTCTTATTCTCGGAGGCATTGGTGCACAGCGAAGACACAAATTGGGAAAAGATCAACACCATTTACTGCCGAGATGATTCATTAATCAGCTCTAGACAAATAGAAACCGATTCGGATATATTGAATGAGGAAGTGATGAAAAAGAATAACATTAACTGCACTTACATACCCAGAAGACTCATTGATAACAAATATAAATGAGAAGTAACTCTACCTTCAACAATCAGGAACATGATGGTTGTATAGATGAGTATCCAAATTCGTTGGGCAAGCAAAAGATACAAATGATCAAATCTTAGATGAAGAATGAGAGTGGAATGAGAGATGTTTCTGAAGAAGTTAACATAACCCCAATGAGGATGAAAACCAATATTAAAATGTGCCATCATGGATATCTGAGCTATGCATAAGTATCTATCTATATTAAAATGTGTTATTATGGGTATGTGAGACATGCATTAGTTTATTACTTACTAACTCACAAAATATCTAACCTTATACTTGATTAATAAATTGAAAAAAAGCAATCATTTTAGTTTTGTCTTTGTGTAGAAAGAGGCCGCACTATGTTAAGAACATACATACTCATCGCAGATTGCCATAAGCGTTTTCCCTTTTCGGAACACGTGAGCTCAATTAGAATGCATGAACTATATTGACGAATTAAAAAGTACATTCCTATCTAAGTACACGATAATTATACATGTTCAAAGTTCAAACGTGCGTTTTTATGTCGGTGGTTTTCACGCAATGTTGAATATACTCCGACGGTCGTGGTAACTAAATTTGAAGAGGGCAATTTCAGAATAAAACATAGGTTTGTTGGGCTTTAAGAGGAAGAATCAGCGAAAGCTCAGCAGAACTGGAACACGACAACGCTAAGAATTGGCATTCACCGAAGCTGGAAATTGAAATTGCCTATGCATCCAACGATAAGTAGAACTAACATTATATATATAGCACCCGGTAAGATCAAACAGCATGGCAGAAATATTGCAGTGAGCAAACCACGCAAAAGTTATACAGTACAACATAAAACAAAAGCACAGAGGGAATACATCCTCTGATAACATCTACATAGATACAACCAATATATATCCGAAACCAAAAGGGCCAAACGACGATCGTTCAAACCAAGAGAACAACTTGCAAAACAAAGATCAACATCTCCTTCTAATACAAAACAGCAACGACTACAGGGACATCATCAAACATAGAACAGTTCCTGCAACAAACAAAATAGAAAATGAGAAACATTGCACGCACAAAAACTAACTTGCAACGAAAATGCTACGGATAGACAGAGGAGTAACCTTCAACCCATGATCACTTCTTAAACAAAGCACGCTTTGCCGCCGAATTCTTCTGACTATCCACTGAAGAATCCCTTTCCATACTAACACCTGCCTGCGAGGGACCACCATGTGGGACTTGAGCAACATCGGCAGCATCCAATTTCTCCACTTTTATCCTGGCGAGTGGAGAGACCAACCTTCAACCAAATAGAGTCCCTACTTGTTAGAACCGCGGAAACAACACATGTATAAGACAATGGAGAAATGATAATGGACAATACAAAAAATTACAGCGATGCCGAAGGCGAGGCGGCGGTTGAACCTAAGGGCTTCCCAGGAGATGATTCGGGGGATGGCTTCAGAATCTTCGAAGCAGGCATAGATGAATCACAACCAACATCTTGAGGACTCATTGACCCATCAATCCTGGCTGATCGCTTGGGAACCATCGAAGTAGCAGACTGGATAGATGGAGCACTGGATTGGACTGCAGAAGACGCGGTCACAGTCGCAGTAGACAAGATGGACCCCACATGTACACCCATCACTGAGAGCTGTGAATCTCCGAGAATCCGCGACCCAGCATCAATATCCTCGCTTCCGACACTGACAGGAATAGGATCCCGCAAAATCCTGGTCGCAGGGCTGGGAAATCTACAAACCATATAATAACCAATTCAGACAACGTCCCTAAATAGCATCACAAATAAACAAAATAAGCTTCATGAAAACCATGAATACCTCTCAATTAGATCTTGTTGGTCAGCGATGTTAAATGGCACAGCTGGAGCTTCAATGGGGATAGAATCTGAAACCTTTTCCTTTCCCTTCGCAGCCCTTGAGAACAGATTACAAAAATAACTCACTTTAATTATGATAGATAAACCAACGCAAGTCACACAGAAAACATAGCAAACAACACCAACCTCGATGAACCTGATGGGCCTCCCACGCTACTTACTGCACCCAGAGAGGGAGAAGGCGACGGACGTGGCGAAGAAAACTCAAGCAAATCACCCACCACCGTAGGATCATCAAGAGGGATGACCTGGGTAACACGGAATTCACCCGAAGAGAAACCAGTAGGACCCGGCAACGGCAACCTACAATCAAACTTGACATATTGCCCTCGCAATTGATGCAACTGTGGGGGCAGCTGACCAGGACGATGGGGGAACATTTGGGCTAGGTGTGCAGCAGAAACGTTGACCAGCGCAAGCGCGCAACCCCCCCCCCCCCCCCCCCCCCCATCAGTATAAAGCGAGCTTCACAAGAGTCGTCCCTCAGTGTAAGCAAGAGCTTGTAGCTGAAGGAATAAAGAACATCAGCAGCAAAACTTATAACAGACAATAGAGATGCAAAAAAAAAAAAACAAATATACAATCCTACTTGACCCGGGTCTGTTCCTCATCCAACTGCCAATCCTTTGGGCACCAAAACGAATCATCACGACGCTTCGAAACAGCTCTTGAACATAACTTGCATGAAATATAATACCAAGGTGTGCTTGACTCGACATCAACAATCACTCCACCACAACGATACTTTTCTTCCTACAAAAGAAAAGAAGGCACGTCACTTGCAAACACGGGAAAAACAAAGGCAGCAAACTTTTTGAGAGAAATAAGCAAAACCAGCGAGGAATTCGTCCTAGATAAGGCCAACAACTGCCCCAAAGTCTTGGTGCGACGATCAGCATCAGTTGTAGCATCAGCAGCAGTAGCAAACTAAACTGGCAAGGATGCAAAGTCTCATGTTTCTCAGCAAACCTGGTAGCGATCCAAGCACCATGAATACAACTACATAGAGTTCTTAATACACAACACATTACACAAACACGAAACGCAAAAGAGGCCACAGGCCGCAATTAGCTTACCTAGATGCAAGATAATAAGCCTTAGGTACTGAAGGGTTGACTGCTATGCGAGTAGCGGCCGAACTCGACAGGACATAGTCATATAAAAAGAAGCACAAAAGAGAGGGAGAAACCAAAACACGCTAATGAGCCTCACATAATATCGGGAAAAGATGCATGCAATAAGGAAACCACAACATACCCCCCAACTTATTAACCAGCAAGCCGCCAAATGCCAATATCACAGCTTCAATCGAGTCAGCCTGAGTGAGAGCAACATGATCCAACACCGCCGAAAACTCATCCCAGAGCGTAATCGAAACCTTCGATCCACTGAGGAAGAATATAGGGACACGTAAGAAAAGCAAAGAACAAACACGACACGTGCAACCAAACTCAGAAACCCATGAAAGGCGCATAATACCTTTCATCCTCAATAATAACCGTTTGCTTGACAGCCGGGCCGTTATTTGTGATCTTGTGCGATATCCCACTGATCAAATGGAGTCGGCCAACAACATCTACGAATAAAGGCACACAGAGGCTAAATCTTAGTAAACAAACAAAAGACATATAAGCAAACCTAACCTAAGAAACCAAACCCACTAACCTGTCAAGTAACGATGATTACCGGAACGAATACCCAACTAGGAGAAAACTACAAACTCGTAAGCATCAACCTGGAAACTCTCAGTAGGAAGAGCACAGGGCAGGAAAGAAGTCGAAGGCGAAAGGCCCAAAGCCAAATCAAAAGAACACGACCGATACTGATTCGGCGGGTTGCTCAGGGCAAAGGATTTTATGACGTATATCATCCCAACCGAGAGATTACGACGAATCCCAGCAGCCATTGAAGTCGGCGAAACGCCCTGAATCAGCATACCCTGCGCAAAGCATGCCATCCCGACTCGTGACCAAAACAAAAAGGCGATAACAAACCAGAGCACTGAAAAGAAAGCGAGAAGCGTAAAAAACTAACCGTTTCGTCGGTCCATAGAGTACAGTAGTTGTAGATCCTGTTGTCTCCCGGAGACTTCGACGGCCACACATGCAACAAACGGAGGCGTAAAGAAATCCCGGCATTGCGCGGACCTCCGAGGTTACAAAGCAATGTGAATTCCATTTTTTGGGAGACGGAGAGAACCAAAGAGGGTGGGAACGGTATTTTTTTCTTCTTCCAAAAACAGACTAGAATGACAGAAAAGAAGTTTCGGCGCCACAGAAGAGCATAAAAAAGAGGGATGGGGAAAGCAGTCTCAAGGGCGGTGCATGTCAGTTTCTGGTCCAATAACGGGCGGAAACGTAAGGCAGAGCAAACAACACCCCGCAAAGAGATAAGCACAGAGTAAAATAATAAACTGCCAGGGATAGGAAGTATAAAAAGAAGCAGAGAATTTTGAGGCGCCGAAGCGGCGAGTGTCAGATACCAGGCCAAACGGAAAAAGGAACGCACTCCCCGAGGCCCAAATGCATGAGGCTGAGCAGAAAGGAAAAGCGGCCATCATTGGCCGAAATTCAGAAACGCAAGAACAAATATACACGGCAAGAGAGAAAAGCAATGAAAGACGTACAGAATGACCGGTGTAATCATTATAAAAAGGTATAATTCTCAGCGGGATTGCTCGAAGGAAGTAGAAAGCGAAGGGAGAATGAGCGTGCAGCTGAGGGCAACGCGGCACACACAGCAACAACGGCGGGACCCAGTCGCAGGAAGCCAACCAATCAGCAAAGGCGGCTGGTCCCAATCGCAGAGAACGAACCAATGGGAGGAGGGTGAACAATAATTTTGAGTCTAAATGAACAGGAATATCGTGTCTAGGCGCACAGTAACTTGTCTTTGCAAATAACTTGTTCTAATCACTCCCTTCGCGTTCTTTTTTTTTTTTTTTTAAGAAAATGCTACAGAAGTTTGCAAGTAAACCACTCTTTATAATTTGTGTAATCTTATCTCTTATTACTCATTGAATATTAAATAAAAATCATACACAATTTGTTTTCTCATCAAATTTTAACGAACCATATCACATTCGTTTCATATCGAATTTTCGTTTTTTCATAAATAGAGCACATTATTTATATTCTACAAGATAATGCACATTTTGACATATATTTTAAGAAAAGCATTATGATCGTATTATCTTTTACAAGCTGGAATGGGCATCTCAATTGAGTATTTGCTGCCTGGAATGATTCTATGATAGATTTTTAGCTGGCGTATTGTTATGAATTGTGTCTACTAGCCATTTATGGAGTGGAACGATGTGGTCACGTCTTTGGCTCGCGTGACTGCTGCTCTCCGTCTCTGCTTGCAGCTCGTGTTCTTCAACAGCGTTACTCTTCTAGATGTGAACTTTGAGAGGAGTTATGTTGTTTGCATCGTGTGCTGAATTCCAATTTTTGATTGAGTTAAAAGAAAAATCAATAATAAAAATAAAAAGATTAGTTGAGGCTGCATGCATGCTAATCCCGAGAGGGCCTGGAATGATTTCCTTTTGTGACCTGGCCCAATGGGCATTTTCATCTAATTCCCACTTCCCAGCAGCAAGACTGGTCTTTACTTTCATTGCGCCGGCGGCCCATCTCCGAAGTATCTTGGGTTTGGACCAGCATCTGGGCCAGCCCTTTTCTCTTTACTTTGCCGGGCAACCAAGCCTTGGTCCAGCCGGCGTCTTTCGTCTGGATTCTTGTTGTTTTAGTTAGAGAGTCTCACGGGAAGAAGCGAAACAGAGTGCGGTTGTCAAACTCAAACCGGTTTAAGTCATTGAGCCGGTCAAGCAAGAAGTTTGAGGTTTAATGGTCTGATCAGGGTCCATTCGGTTTGAGTCGTTTTAAACATTTTCTAAATATATATACAAATAAGATAGTACTTAAAAATTTAATTACTAAAATGAAATTTATCTTACATGTTTCTATTAAAAATTTATTTCTACATAATACATCTACCTAACCTCCATGACCCATTCCTTCGTTCATCTTCCTCTCTTCCCCCTCTCTTCTTCTCCCTCTTTAGGAGTTAGACCGGAGGACTTTCTGGAAACCATTTTAAAACCCAAATTATGTGGAACCGGAAACAACCGGAAGTTGAATAGGGGTTTAACAACCTTGATGTCTTGTCTCCAGAAAAAACAAGAAGACATGTGGACGACATGCGCAAAGGAAAGGTAAATACAAAGGGTACATACTTAAATACGCGCGAATACGTTGCACCAAATCCTGTGTACTGTACCACGTGGACGTCATGCTGTGTGTGGTTCTATCTTCCCAATCCATGGCGGCCAGCCGGCCACTACACTTGCTTCAGTCTTCTTCAGATATGCGAGAAGCTCTGGCGATCCAGTTCGCATTTCTGAATCCAAGCTTGTAGGGATAGAGTCTATGGAGATGGAGGGAGAAAAAGAAGAAGATGATTTTTTTTCATTACATAATGAAAAATTCACAATCTCAAGAGGTTGGGTTAGTGTAAGTACGAGAACATCATCCACATTCTAAGTTCGAATATTTGAGCCAATAATCAACGAGAACAAAATAATAAAATTATAGGCGACAAATAACAACTCTCGCATATAAGTCACTATAGTTGCAAACTCGGTATCTGAGTAAAAACAGTAGTGTAGAAATCTCGTCACAGATAATACAGTATGCAACCTACTATTTGACGAAGGTTCAAAGACGTATAAGGGGTTGATGAGTAAAAAAAATGGTGGAACAATCTTCGAAACTAGATGAGCGATAAGTCGTTGAACGATGTGTTGATGAGATACATTGAACAAGATTTGTGTGCTAGTTCAGATAATGAATGTGTTCTCAAATACTTTCATAATATGAAATCTCGTCACAATTAGTTGTAAGTGATGTGCATCAAACTATTGTTTTTTTATTGTATGAACTTTTTTCTCTCGTTGAATCAGTCGCTTTTTTTTCTCCAACAGAAAACCTCTCACAACCTATTTGTGCACTATACTACTGCAAAGAAACTAACAGCCAAAATACAAAACTTTATAAGTATCCCAACCCCACTAAAATATCTCGAACCCCTTTGTTCCCATAAGTGAGGAACGTCAATTCCTGTTTGATTAGACCTGCAACTTGCCTAGGAGTGCGATTTGAAGTGCCATGAACAACCCCAAACCTCTCCTTCCAAATGAACGCCACCAGGAGACACCACACAAGGGCCTGCCACTCCCCAGGTTGTGCTGATCCTGCCAAAGAAAGAGAATTAACCATAGAATCCCAGTCTGGATGCAGCAGAAGACTAAACCTTATCTCAGCAGCGAGCTCCTTTGCAAAAGTGCACTGAGTAAAAAGATGATCTCTGCTCTCCACTCCTTGACTGCAGAGCGGGCATTCATCAATCCTTATTTCCCCCCATTTCTGCAGCTTATCCCTCGTGATAATAGCATTCTTCATTATTAACCAAGCAAGCAAGCTATAACGCGGAGGACAACTACTATTCCAAACCAACTTATACCACGCTACTCTAGGGGCCCTGTTTCTCAAAGTTTCCCAGACTCGACGGATAGAGTAAGTGTCCATCTCCTTTGAATCCCAATAGACTATATCATTTTGCACAACTAGCCATTGGAGAACCACTGCCCTAAGCTTGAGAAGCCTTCTCCAAGCCCACAAAATCGCAATGCCTACACTTATATTCTTTCATCCATGCCACCCATAAAGCCCCTGAATTCATCAAAAACAACCAGAGCATTCTTATAGTGCAAGCCTGATTCCAAGAAATCAAATCCTTTACCCCACGTCCCCCTTCATGTTTTGGAAGAGCAAATTGCTCCCATCCTACTTTTGCCTTTCCTTCATCATGGCCATGCCAGAGAAACTGAGAATAGACTTTTTGTATTCTCTTGAGTGCTTGCTTTGGGAGAATAAACATCTGCATCCAGAATTGCACCATCCCCAAAATTACAGAGTTAAGCAGCTGCAATCTCCCTGCATATGAGAGCTTCTTGGCTCGCCAAGACCTTATCCACTTTGTAATCTTATCCACCAGACTATCAATTTCAACTGATCATAACTTGCCAGACAGCAATGGCAAACCCAGGTAACGGACTGGGAGTTTCCCTTCTTGAAACCCTGCAAGAGTCAGAGCATTATGCTTATAGAGAATTGAATCCCCACCAAAGTAAATCTCACACTTTGCAGGGTTACTATTAAGCCCTGAGATATGATAGAAACGCTGTAGAATCCCTTTAACCTGCATTATGGCCTGAGCAGACCCCTTAGTGAATATTAGCAAATCGCCAGCAAAGCAGAGGTGATTCAGTGCCACTCTCTTACACTGCGGATTGAATGGGAGAACCCTTGACTGACCTGCCTCAGATAACATAGTAGATAGCCCCTCCATTGCAATGGTGAAAAGGTAAGGTGACAATGGATCACCTTGCCTCACACCCTTCCTGGCTCTAAAAAACCCACAGAGGCTCCCATTCACATTAATGCTGTAGTGAGCAGTTTGCAAACAACTTTTAATCCACTTTAAGAAAATAGCAGGGAATCCCATGACATTCATCATGAAAAATAGGTATTTCCAACTCACATAATCGAATGCCTTCATTATATCAACTTTAATAGCACATCGAGAGGACATAAATCGTCTATTATATCCACTCACCAGTTTCTGAGCCATTAGTATGTTATCCATGATACTTCTCCCCTTTATAAAAGCAGACTGGGAACTACTAATAATCAATGGCATTATCCCCTTAATTCTATTTGCCAGGACCTTGGCAATGATTTTGTATAACAAATTTATACAGGAAATAGGCCTAAAGTGTTTTTGGGTATCTGCATTAGGGATTTTTGAAAGCAAAGAAACAGTAGTGGAGTTAACCCCACTGGGGAGAATACCTGAGCTCAAGAAAAAGAGGATCCCCCTGATTACATCCTCTCCAATGATTCCCCAGGTCCTCTTAAAGAACCCTGCAGAGAACCCATCTGGGCCTGGAGCCTTCTGTGTGTTCATGCTAAACACCACTGCCCTAATTTCTTCACCAGTAATGTCCTGAGTTAGAGCCTCACATTCTGTCTGAGGGATTTTCCTTTGAAAAAGTCTCTTCACCTCCTCTTCACTTGGATTAATATCAACATTAACCTCACCCAACAGCTTCTTAT